AGAGAGAGAGAGAGCTGTTATACGCTCTACAGAGAGAGAGAGAGGATACGCTCTAGAGAGATCATCTCCTCTGACGTCATCACTCATTTCTGCTCTTAGTAACTGCTCTGTGTTTGTTGCTGTTTACATGATGATGATGATGATGATGATGATGATGTTGTTTTTGTTGTTGTTGTTGTTGTTGTTGTAGTAGTAGTAGTAGTATATCCTTCCAGCAGACGGATGGAGGTCTCTGAGCCCAGACTGGTTCTGGTCTTCAGCGGGAAACGGAAGTCCGGGAAGGATTACGTGACGGACCTGATCCAAGACCGGTAACTTGTGACTGTGAAGGTTTCCCAATTCTCTTCATTTCCCCTCCTCGACTCCTATCCTCGATTCCTATCCTCGACTCCTATCCTCGAATCCCTATCCTCGAATCCTATCCTTGCGTCTTAAGGCCCGGACACACCGAGCCGATTTCGTCCGTGGATTGATGTCTGGCCGTCGATGAGCGTCCTGTCGCCCTACTCAGATTGGTGTGTCTTTTCGGCCGTGCCGACACCTTTCGCTCCCGAGGCTGTCTGCCTAAGAAATCACTCTGATTGGCTGTTCAGCTTAGCGAATCAGTGCATGAGAAGCGAAATGGAAGTGAAGAAGGCACACACAGACGGCTATTATTTTTCATTTTCCAGTACCGCACTAAACATGTTTTCGATTATAAGTCGTTATGTGAAACCGTCTGTGATGGACGAGAGTGAAAATGGAACACCACGCTATTTGTTGTTTGTTTATATCACGCAGTCTGTTCTTCTTCTCTCGGTTATCACGCAGTCTGTCTTCCGGTTGACGAATACACACTACCGCCGCCTGCTGGTAAGGAGAGTTATTGCCACTCACGCTATGCGCAGTTCGTACGTGCTACTTGGCCGTCGGCTGAAGTCTTTGCGGTTGTGTTCCAGTGCAACCACATGGCCAAGACGCAGGAGACGTGAGGCGACACCACAGTCGGGTCCGTCGGGGCGTGTTCTTTGATGTCAGATTGGTGTTTCAGGGCAGGGCCATTTCTTCCTATGGGCGAACTATGCAGATGCATAGGGCCCCCGCGGCCACTAGGGGGCCCCCAAGCTGAAAGTTTCAGGTTCAGCCTCAATATATTTGGGGAGAATTAAAATTAGCCGTCTTTATTTATAGACAGCCAAGCCCCCTCCTGTGTTCGGTGAAGCATTATATGCTTACAAATATAATGTAGGATATAAACACGACAAAACTGCAAAGCTGAGGCTTCTGTTTGTGGGGAAATAAAGTCCAAATCATCGTTGGGCTTTCAGCCAATGAGCGACGTCTGAGGAAGATGAAACATGTAAATTATACATCGTTGAAAAAATGCTGCATTTATTGACGTAGAGCAGCCTCATTGTTTACCTTTTTAATATCATTTTTTGTAAGTTGCAATTGCTTGGTTTTTGTGAAATTAGCCTGATCATCTTAACCTCTTAAGCCCTGAGCCTGTTTTTTAAGGTTTCAGGCTCGAAAATGCTATGCCCAAACAAATGACTATAACTTAACTTCTAAAAGGGTTATATGAATAATTTCTTTTTTCAAAGCAAGGTTACATCTGTGAGTTGGATGTAGAAGTGTCAGAATCAATATAGATATTTCTCAGTCAGAGTAAATTCAGATGGAACATAGTAAAAAAAGGTAAATTCTTACCCCCCGCCTAAAAAAAAACCATTACTTCTAGTGAAACTACCCTTGAATGATGGGATAGTAGACTAAAAGCTTTAGGAATCCAAAGTATAAACATATAATAAGTACCCTGTATCAAGATTGAGGCAAACAAGTTAAATTTGACCTTTTTAGAGAGGTTTAGCTAAAAGTAGTCCAGGCGGACTGACCTTGGGCACATTTTGGCACATTTGGATACCATCAGTGCCATTTGACCTTTTTCAGGTACCATACTGTAAAAATAATTGTATCATCACTACAGGTAATCATTCCATCCAAATACAAGTGTTTAAAAAAAATAAAAAAAATAATTTTTAAATTACATTTTTTTTGTATGTAAATGGTGTGTGTGGACTTTGCCACAGCCATTACATGTTATCACCCGACTAACACTTCTAGGAAGGTTTTACTTACACAATAACAATTAGGAAAACATAGGATACACTTGTCTCTTGTCTTGAGCAGATTTATTTGAAGCACTCCTTTGTGCATCAGTCAGTCCTCACAGTAAATACAGAGCTGAATCCCAGACCAAATGCACGCTGAAGGCTCTTTGAGCATGTTTTTCTCTCACTGATTGTGCTGTTATGTTAAATGTTTGTGTTTCATGTATTTGTGTATGCATATTTGTCTGTTGATGTTGGACATGGAAGCTGCTGTGACGCAAGTCAAATTTCAGACTTGATCTGACAATAAAGTAATATCGTATGTATCGTATCGTATATTTAAAAAATAACACTAAAAACGACACTAAAACCGAAATAACACCACAAACATTTTTTTTGGAAATACTGGCAAAAAAGAAAAAATGTACACAACCTGAATGTGTTTAGTGTTTTTGAATTGAGGCACCAGGCACTTAGTGCAGTAGATAGGTCTTCACCGTTGTGTTGCCAGCATCAGGGACTTCACCCCTCATGTCTGCAGCAAGCTGCTCCCTGAAGGACTTCTGGGTGTGTGGCTTCGTCCTGCCGGGGTCACCCCTCATCTTGTGCAGCTCCTTGTGGAGAAGGAAGCTGTTCACCACTGCAATGTCCAGAAAATGGTTAAAAAAAAAAAGGTCTTGTTACCATTTCATGGTTTTTTTGGTGAACACTGTAGTAACCCAATCAAAGCATCGGACACATCCACGCAGCCCATGCTTCTGTTGTAGTCCATCACAGTGTCAGGAACGGTAACAACCTTAGTCTTCCACACACCAGCCCGTTTCACTTTCCTCCTGACAGTCTGTCCACTGAACCAGAAGATGCAGAGGGAGGCTGAGTTAGTACTGGTGCAGACGTCCGGCGGCGTAGCTTGGATGTTGATGGCTCTGGGGCAACTGTATGCTGATCTGATGCATGTCGTAGCTCGGATGAGGCAGATGTTGATGGCTGTGATCCAGAAGCCATTTAATACTTGTCTTCATCACTGTGAAAACAAATGTGGAAAAAACAATTACTTTGATTACTTCACTGGATATTCTTTCAAAAATGTAACTCAAATCAGAAATAATTCCTCCATTTAGCGTGTGTGAAATAACAGTATATATATATATATGTATATATATATCTATATATATATATATATATATGTGTGTATACTGTATTTCATATATATATACTATAGCGTGTGTGAAATAACCGTATAGCCTACATATATATATATATATATACTGTTATTCCACACACGCCAAATGGATGCTGTTTTGTAGTTCTACAGACATTGACTAATAGCAGTTTATAAATAAAGCTGTATTGTATATCAGTCTATATATATATATATATATCTATATAGATATATATATCTATATATATATATAGATATATATATATATATCTATATATATATATATATATACTGGGTTGATATACAATACAGCTTTATTTATATACTGCCGTGTGTTATAGTCACGATATACAATTAATCTATTATACGTTCACCAACATGATGTTGCCATTGTTTTAGTTCTCACGGAACGATAACGCTACAACAACAAAGCGGCGTCCATTTTGTATTTTGCGAGTGTGGAATAACTATAGATTACACCAAAATACACAACTAATAGATACAAACAGAGAGAGTACATACCTTTCCTGAATTCCTAATCAGGGTTGCCTGCTGTTGTCTCTGTGTTCTCTGTTCGCTGTGTTCTCTGTTCGCTGTGTTCGTTGCTGCTGTGCTGGAGCGGTTTGAGCGGCTGCTTCTGCTCCGTCTGTGCGTAAAGCAGCCGCTGCTGGCATTATTCATACTAAGCAGGATCCTATCTCTGGAACTCATTGGTCGATTTGGGTGATTGACACCTTTTTTGAAACTTTGGAGCCAATAGAATCGAGGGGGGGGGGGGGTTAGTAAAACCCGCCTAAACACTTACGTTAAGGACAGAGAGGCTCGCGTAAACAGCACGTGAGAAAGCCTAAACCCCGGACTGCAAAACTTTATACCTACGATGCGGCCATGAATGTAATGATGGATTATCAGGAACAATTCTAAAGTGACTAAGAGACATTGGATTAACCTTGAGCAGCGTTTTTATTCCCTTGAACACGACTTTTGATCACAAAACAGCAACGGTAAGACATAATTATTGTTATGCTTTAGAACACTGTTGTTGTTTTCTTGCTCTGTTCTGGCTGCTCGCTCAGTGAGTTCGTGTCCTGCAGTGATGATACTTATATACAAATAATCTGTGGAGTATCAGCTTTCAGCTGATATGTAGTTTGTGCAGAAAATATTAAGTTTTAAAGATCGTTTTTGCTAGTTAGCACCGGAAGTAGCATCAGCCTGTTTCACTAAGGGCTAATGCTAACGCTTCTTGTGAGACTTGTGTTTTGTTTCGGTAAAAATGGCTCATATCATTAGGTTGCTGAGTTTTTTCCCGTTATTTGAGTATAAGACATTCATAGGTTTTTAAATATTAATTAGCCCCCAGACGCTGTCTCCTGCAGTGACGTGTTTTTCTCCGCCCGGTATCGGGTTTTAAGAGGTTAAAGGCTTCGGGAATCCCCCCATTGTAGTTAAAAAAACTGTAAAAACTAGGGCCCCCAAACAGCTAGAAACGGCCCTGTGTCAGGTCCTTTACCCCCTCGATTCCACCGGGTCCGTCTTCGTCGCGTCATGGCTGCGCCTGTAAACCGGAGGAGAACGCTGGCATTTCTCCTCCTACTTGAAAGACTACGGAGGGATAGGGGTTAGTTTATTTTGGGGATTGACTGGATGCTCTGACCGGTCCACTTCCTGTCTGGCGCTATGCAACGCCTTGCGTCGCGTCAAAATAGACTTGCATCCTATTTTTAGCAGAGCCCAGCGCCGAGACGCTTCTGGGACGCTTCTGAGCTGTAACGCGGCACGTCTGGTGGAATAGCACCCATTGACTAGAGTGGCTGCGATATATGCAAATGCTACGGCGCAGCCGTAACGCAGCCGTAACACAGCCGTAACCCAGCCGTAACGCGACGCCAGACGAAACCAGTGGAATCTAGGGGTTAGTTGTAGTACTGCAGTACTTCCCGATGTAGTACTGCAGTACTTCCCGATGTATTACTGCAGTACTTCCCGATGTATTACTGCAGTACTTCCCGATGTAATTTACTGCAATACTTCCCGATGTATTACTGCAGTACTTCCGATGTATTACTGCAGTACTTCCCGATGTATTACTGCAGTACTTCCCGATGTATTACTGCAGTACTTCCCGATTGTAGTACTGCAGTACTTTCCCAATGTATTACTGCAGTACTTCCCGATATATTACTGCAGTACTTCCCGATGTATTACAGTACTTCCCGGTGTATTACTGCAGTACTTCCCGATGGATTACTGCAGTACTTCCTGATGTATTACAGTACTTCCCGATGTATTACTGCAGTACTTCCCGATGTATTACTGCAGTACTTCCCGATGTATTACTGCAGTACTTCCCGATGTATTACTGCGTATTTTGCGATGTATTACTGCAGTACCTTCCCGATGTAGTACTGCAGTACTTCCCGATGTATTACTGCAGTACTTCCCGATGTATTACAGTACTTCCCGATGTATTACTGCAGTACTTCCCGATGGATTACTGCAGTACTTCCGATGGATACTGCAGTAGTACTTCCCGATGTAGTACTGCAGTACTTCCCGATGGATGTATTACAGTACTTCCCGATGTATTACTGCAGTTACTTCCGATGTATTACTGCAGTACTTCCGATGGATTACTGCAGTACCTTTCCCGATGTAGTTACTGCAGTACTTCCCGATGTATTACTGCAGTACTTTCCCGATGTATTACTGCAGTACTTCCCCGATGTATTACTGCAGTACTTCCCGATGTATTGTCTGGATTCTAATCCTTCCTGTTCTTCCTTAGTTTAGGATCCGATGTTTGCTGCATCCTGCGTCTCTCTGGACCGCTCAAGCAGCAGTACGCTGAGGGTGAGACAGCTGATAATCTGCTGAGTCAGGCTGGTTCTGATGGTTCTGCTGAGTCAGGCTGGTTCTGATGGTTCTGATGGTTCTGTAGGAACATGGTCTGGACCTGCAGCAGCTGCTGGGCCCGGGTTTCTTTACAAGGAGCAGTATCGGGCCGATATGATTCGCTGGGGAGAAACTCGGCGCCATGACGACCCCGGATTCTTCTGTCGCCTAGCAACCAGAGAAGCTTGTCAACCTGTCTGGGTACGTCCCTGTGATGTCACTCAATTATTTGTTGTGTTAACGCTCTCTTATTGGTCAGTTGACCCTCTCTGATTGGTCAGTTGACCCTCTCTGCTCTCTGGTTGGTCAGTTGACCCTCTCTGCTCTCTGATTGGTCAGGTGGTGAGTGATGCCCGCCGTCAGACTGATCTTCAGTTTTTCTGCTCGGAGTTTCCTCGACAGACTCAAAGTGTCCGAGTTCAAAGTTCAGAAAAAACACGGAAACAGAGGGGGTGGAGCTTCAGCACAGGTAAGACCACCTGACCGTGCGCTTACCTGTCTGTCTGTGTGTCTAACTGTCTGTGTGTGTATCTGTCTGTCTCTCAGGTTGTGGATGATGCAGAGTCAGAATGCGGGTTGGACAGTGGAGTGTGAATTTGATTGGATCATCACTAACGCGGCCGACGCCCCCTCGTTAGACGAGCAGTGCAGCCATTCCTGAAGCTGGCTGAGGAGGCGGTGTAACATCATCCCGTAGCAGACCCTCCAGATGACCCTGTACTGGTTCGTAGGGAACCTCCTCATGCGTGATAAACAGATGTGTATGGGTCTGTAGGGAACCTTCCTGATGTGTTGTTGTAACAGATGTGTATGGGGTCTGTAGGGAACCTTCCTGACTGGTTTGTAACAGATGTGTATGGGTCTGTAGGGAACCTTCCTGATGGGTTGTAACAAATGTTTATGGGGTCTGTAGGGAACCTTCCTGATGGTGTAACAAAGACGTAATAAATCGAGGCGCTTTGACAGACCAGTGCTTTTATTTTTAGAAAATCCTGTCATGATTTATTACAATGAGCTGTGACATCACTTCCTGCCCTTTGTTCATCAGGTCTCTGATTGGCCCCCGGACTTACCGATCATGGCAGTGATTGGCTACCTGACACAAAATAATAAACCATCGGCTGACAGGAAGTCAGCTCAAACAACAAGCATTCATTATTAGTGTGGCCAAAATAAATAACAATTAATTAATTCTTAACGAGGTCACTGTTAATCAACTCCCTTATAGACACAAAGCTCCTCCTCGTCTGGGGGGGGGGGGGGGGGGGGCTCTGTTAGTGGTGGGGAGGCAAGCAGAGAATCATTACGAGGGGAGGGGGGGCTTCAGGAATGTGAGGAAGCAGGAATCATTACGAGGGGAGGGGGGGCTTCAGGAATGTGAGGGAAGCAGGAATCATTAAGAGGGGGGTAGCAGGAGGGTGGTTCAGTTAGTGGGGGGGGGGGGGGGGGGGGTTCAGCATGAGTTGAGCTCCTCCATGGTCTGGTCCAGAGTCGCCTGCAGCTCCATGTTGGCGTTCCTGGCTGCAGTCAAAGAGCCTGAAACAAAACCACAAACACCAGTATTAATACATAACACACTCTCACACCAGTATTAGTACATAACACACACTCACACAAGTATGAGTGAATCATACACACACACACACACAGTACACACACATTATGATCAGTAAGTATGACCCAGCAGAAACTTTCTCACCCTCCTGGCTGTCAATGGTTCGTTCCAGTCTGGAAACCGTTCGCTCTCCAGCCTCCGCTCTGCTCTCTGCCTGCAGGAGGTCAAAGGTTAGACAGGACGGTCAGCAGGTAAACAGGAGGCGGAGTCGCAGTCTTACACGCTTCTCTGCGCTCTCTCCTAGGCAGTCATCCATAGGATACCCAATATTAGCGGTGTTTGTGTGTCTGCCCAAGGACAATTTAAGGTAAAAACCTAATAGAGGTGTCATACATAATAACCTAATAAAGTAAATCTAACAACTACTACAGTGCAACAAAGCAGAAGATTAAATGTGGTCTCTTAAACATAAGATCTCTAGCATCTAAAGCAATATTGGTAAATGATTTTAATATCAGATTATAATATTGATATATGCTGTCTCACTGAAACTTGGTTGAGACATGAAGAATATGTCAGCATAAATGAGGCCACTCCACCCAGCCATATCAATACTCATATTGCCCGAGGCACGGGCCGAGGAGGTGGAGTTGCAGCAATCTTTGACTCAAGTTTACTTATCAATACCTAAACCAAAATTAAATTATACCTCCTTTGAAAGCCTCGTTTTTAGTCTACGCATCCGACCTGGAAAACTTTGCAGCCAATCTTATTTGTTACAGCTTGTACCGTTGCACCAGGTCCTTATTCAGACTTCTTATCTGAATTCTCTGAGTTTTTATCAACGTTGGTTCTTAAAACAGATAAAGTAATTATCGTAGGTGACTTTAATATTCATTGATGACGATGATAAAAATAGCCTTACTGTTGCATTTAACTCTATATTAGATTCTGTTTGGTTTCTGTCAGAGTGTAAATAAACCAACCCACTGCCTATAATCACACTCTCGACCTTGTTCTGACTTATGGTATTGAAATTGAGCAACTATTAGTCGAACCGCATAATCCTGCTTTATCCGACCATTTCTTAGTAACTTTTGAAGTACTGTACGAGACTACAAAGCATTAGTCAAAAGCTCCTGCAGCAGAAACCTATCTGTTAGTGCTATAGCCAAATTTAAGGAAGAGATTCCACCAATACTTAACTCGATAGCATGTCTGCATGTAAGGGAGGAAACTTATACAAAATGTACACCACCCCAAATTGATCATGTTGTTGATAGTGCTACAGATGCGCTGCGAATAAAATTAGACTCTCTTGCTCCTTTGAAAAAGAAGAAAATAAAACAACAGATTAGCTCCATGGCATAATGCCCAAACCCGCACAATAAAGCAAAAGTCGAGACAACTTGAAAGGAATATGGCGTTCCACTAAACTTGAAGAATCTCGTTTAATTTGGCATATTACTCTCAATGAATATAAGAAAGCACTGCGTAAAGCGAGAGCAGCCTACTACTCTTCATTAATAGATGAGAATAAGAATAATGCAAGATTTCTTTTCAGCACTGTAGCCAGGCTGACAGAGAGCCACAGCTCGATTGAGCCTTCTATTCCCATAGCAGTCAGTAGCAATGATTTTATGTGCTTTTTTAATGATAAAATTGTTACTCTTAGAAACAAAATTGATGACCTCTTGCCTTTGACCAGTATAGTGTTATCAACAGCTCCCGGGGAAACGTAAGTTCTAATATTACACTAGATAGTAAACTAGAATGCTTTTCAGCCATAAACCTTGAACAATTAAATTCAATGATTCTCTCTTCTAAACCATCAACGTGTATGTTAGACCCAATTCCAACTAAGCTGTTGAAGGAAGTTTTTCCATTAATTAGCACTTCTTTATTAAATATTATGAATATGTCTTATTATCAGGCTATGTTCCACAATCATTCAAAGTAGCAGTGATAAAACCGCTTCTTAAAAAGCACAACCTCGATCCAGAGGTTTTAGCCAACTATAGACCTATTTCCAATCTTCCGTTCCTCTCAAAAATTCTTGAGAAAGCGGTCGCAAAACAGCTGATTACTTAAAAAACAATGATTTATTTGAAGATGTTCAGTCTGGCTTTAGAACACATCATAGCACAGAGACAGCTCTGGTTAAAGTCACAAATGACATTCTAATAGCCTCTGACAAGGGACGTGTCTCTATTCTTGTTTTGCTCGATCTCAGTGCTGCATTTGATACTATCGACCATGATATCTTATTGCAAAGACTAGAGCACTTAGTTGGCATACAGGGAACTGCTTTAGACTGGTTTAGGTCCTATCTATCTGAACGCTCTCAGTTTGTACGTGTCAATGATGAATCTTCCACGCAAACCAAAGTTAGCCATGGAGTGCCACAGGGCTCAGTGCTCGGACCTATTTTGTTCACATTATATATGCTTCCGTTAGGCAATATTATAAGGAATCATTCTGTACATTTTCATTGTTATGCGGATGATACTCAACTATATTTATCAGGCCTGATGAAATTAATCATCTAAATAAAATTCAAGACTGCCTCAAGGACTTAAAAACGTGGATGACCTTAAACCTTTTGATGTTAAACACGACCAAAACTGAAGTTATTGTACTTGGCCCGAAGAATCAACGAAATAAATTATCTAAGGATATACTAACTATGGATGGCATTAATTTGGCCTCCAGTGAGACTGTAAGGAATCTTGGTGTTATATTTGATCAGGATTTATCCTTTAACGCCCACATAAAATCAATTTCAAGGACCCGCCTACTTCCATCTACGTAACATTGCAAAAATCAGGCATATCTGCCTCAAAACGATGCAGAGAAACTAGTCCATGCATTTTTTACTTCAAGGCTGGATTATTGTAACTCTTTATTATCAGGGTGTACCAAGAAGTCAGTGAAGTGGCTTCAGCTGATTCAAAATGCTGCGGCTCGTGTACTAACCAGAGTTAGGAAAAGGGACCACATTACTCCTGTTCTGGCTGCCTTACACTGGCTCCCTATAGAACACAGGATAGAATTTAACATTCTTCTTCTGGCCTACAAAGCCCTTAATGGGCAGGCGCCATCTTACCTTAAAGAACTCATTATACCCTACTGTCCTACTAGGGCATTGCGTTCCAAGAATGCAGGGTTGTTGGTTGTTCCTAGAGTCTCTAAAAGTACAATGGGAGCCAGAGCCTTTTCTTATCAAGCTCCACATTTGTGGAATCAGCTTCCAGTTTGTGTTCGGGCAGACACCCTATCCGTTTTTAAGAGTGCGCTTAAGACCTTCCTTTTTGATAAAGCTTATAGTTAGGGCTGATTAGATTCAGCCCCTAGTTTTGCTGATATAGGCTTAGTTTGTCGGGGGACATCTTACTTCTTCCTTCTCTCTGTCTATACCTGTGTACTCTCATGTTCCCATTAACCCAGCTTCCCCAAATGTCTTTCTTTTTGTTGTCTATATACGCCGGGATCCGGAGTCATGGATGATCCTGCGCTCCTGTGTCCTGCATCGTGAGCCCTGGATCTTGAGTCGTGGCTGTGGTCCTGGATCATAGGTCCTGGATGGATATCCTTATGGATTCATCTTCCTATTATACACACATGCATTTCCAAACATTTGGACTACCTATGTTGCAAATGTATTATCTTTTAATTTACAACACGGCATCTATTGCACGTCTGTCCGTCCTGGGAGAGGGATCCCTCCTCTGTTGCTCTCCCTGAGGTTTCTTCCATGTTCCCTTTAAACTGTGGGTTTCTCCGGAAGTTTTTCCTTGTACGATGTGAGGGTCTAAGGACAGCGGGTGTCGTATTGTCATACTGATATTTTGTACAAACTGTGAAGTCCACTGAGACAAATGTAACATTTGTGATATTGGGCTATATAAATAAAACATTGATTGATTGATTGATTGAGGTCAGGCGAACAGGAAGTCAGGTGAACAGGAAGTCAGGTGAACGGGAAGTCAGGTGAGAAGGAAGTGTGCTGAGGGCTGCGTCTCAGGTCGGTTTTTAAATGGATTCCTTGCTTCCCCCACTTGCGTCGTTTCCCTGTGACTAGTCCCTCCCACCAGTGGTTAGCATGGAGAGAGGAAACCACGAGAAGCAGGGAATGAGTTTTAAGAGCAATGGGACGCCCCTTTCCTCCGGAGCGTCACGTGAAGCGACGTCCGTTTGTGATGACGCTGCACAGCTGATCGTTTGACAGCAGCTCTGTCCCCGTTGTGTCCACAAACACCCCGCCTCTGTTAGTACACATTTACTGACACAACATTTGTATCATCTGTTGTAGACCCAAATACATTAAATAAAATAACTAACTCTCAAAAAAGATAAACGCCATTCTTAAAATGTATAAACGAAAAAAGCGATCATGAAAATGTTTCCAATAAATGAATAAAATGATTTTTGCCCACTTTGTTTGTTCAGATATATCACATATTTGTAACTAAATGAAACATGAATTGAAACAAAACACGGTATAAACTGAGGAGTGAGTCCCGTGAGGTTCATGTGTTTTCTTCACTCTGCTCTCATGTCAAGAAGCATCAGATCAGTGCATGCACTGCCTCGTCCAATCAGTGAGCGATACACAGTAAGGGGGGCGGGGCGAGTGTCTGAGGATTTCATCGGAGGATGGTCTGGTGGTTCCTCGATTCTCGCTCCTCCGGCAGAAATAAGAGCCATGGGACGGTACTCAAGATGGCGCAGACAAATCAACTTCCGGTGAGACCGAGGAGCGAGGAAATGAAAATAACCGACTGAGACGCAGCCGAGGGTCTCACCTCCTTGAGTTTGTTGCTCAGGTTCCTGATCTCCTCCTCGTACCGGTCCTCCTTGAGAGAATACTGAAGGAGAGAGCCAATAGAAGACAGTTCATACCCGTTTGGCTTTAGCCAATCAGATGACAGTTCAGACTCTACCTTCTCAGCCTGGGCCTCCAGAGACTTTGAGGAGCTGCAGACGGTCTTCAGCTCCTCCTCCAGGTGCCGACTCTTACTGCAGGGCACACACACACGCACATAAATATATACACACACATATTATATATATATATACACATATAATTATATATATAGTGGGGCAAAAAAAGTATTTAGTCAGCCACCAATTGTGAAAGTTCTCCCACTTAAAAAGATGAGAGGCCTGTAATTTTCATCCTAGGAACACCTCAACTATGAGAGACAGAATGGGGGAAAGAATCCAGGAAATCACAAGCCACGTTTCATCGTCAATGCCCTTGCTGATGGAAGGAGGCTGTCACTCAAAATCTCACGATGCATGGCCCCATTCATTCTTTCCTTTACACGGATCAGTGGTCCTGGTCCCTTTGCAGAAACACAGCCCCAAAGCACGATGTTTCCACCCCCATGTTTCACAGTAGGTGTTCTTTGGATGCAACTCAGCATTCTTTCTCCTCCAAACACGTCTAGTTGAGTTTTTACCAAAAAGTTCTATTTTGGTTTCATCTGACCATATGACATTCTCCCAATCCTCTTCTGGATCATCTAAATGCTCTCTAGCAGACTTCAGACGGGCCTGGACATGTACTGGCTTAAGCAGGGGGACACGTCTGGCACTGCAGGATTTGAGTCCCTGGCGGCGTAGTGTGTTACTGATGGTAGCTTTTGTTACTTTGGTCCCAGCTCTCTGCAGGTCATTGACTCGGTCCCCCCGTGTGGTTCTGGGATTTTTGCTCACCGTTCTTGTGATCATTTTGACCCCACGGGGTGAGATCTTGCGTGGAGCCCCAGATCGAGGGAGATTATCAGTGGTCTTGTATGTCTTCCATTTTCTAATAATTGCTCCCACAGTTGATTTCTTCACACCAAGCTGCTTACCTATTGCAGATTCAGTCTTCCCAGCCTGGTGCAGGTCTACAATTTAGTTTCTGGTGTCCGTTGACAGCTCTTTGGTCTTGGCCATAGTGGAGTTTGGAGTGTGACTGTTTGAGGTTGTGGACAGGTGTCTTTTATACTGATAACGAGTTCAAACAGGTGCCATTAATACAGTTAACGAGTGGAGGACAGAGGAGGCTCTTAAAGAAGAAGTTACAGGTCTGTGGGAGCCAGAGATCTTGTTTGTTTGTAGGTGACCAAATACTATTTTACAGAGGAATTTACCAATTCATTCATTAAAAATCCTACAATGTGATTTCCTGGATTCTTTCCTCCATCCTGTCTCTCATAGTTGAAGTGTACCTAGGATGAAGATTACAGGCCTCTCATCTTTTTAAGTGGGAGAACTTGCACAATTGGTGGCTGACTAAATACTTTTTTGCCCCACTGTGTGTGTATATGTACACATATATATATATATATATATATGTGTGTGTGTTTGTATATATATATATATATATATATATATTGTGTACTTTTACCTCTCTCCCTGCTCAGCTCGGTACTCAGCTCGCTCCAGATCTCCTTCCACCATCCCCAGTTTACGGAACACCTGACAATCAAACACAACGTCACACACACACTACAGTATACACCTGTCAATCAAACACAACGTCACACACTACAGTATACACCTGTCAATCAAACACAACGTCACACACTACAGTATACACCTGACAATCAAACACAACGTCACACACACACTACAGTATACACCTGTCAATCAAACACAACGTCACACACTACAGTATACACCTGTCAATCAAACACAACGTCACACACTACAGTATACACCTGTCAATCAAACACAAACGTCACACACTACAGTATACACCTGTCAATCAAACACAACGTCACACACTACAGTATAACACCTGTCAATCAAACACAACGTCACACAACTACAGTATACACCTGTCAATCAAACACAACGTCACACACTACATATACACCTGTCAATCAAACACAACGTCACACACTACAGTATACACCTGTCAATCAAACACAACGCTACATCACCCCCCCACCACTACGTATACACCTGTCAATCAAACACAAACTGTCCAACCACGACAGTATCACACCTCATCAAACACAAACGTCCACCACTACAGTATACACCTGTCAATCAAACACAACGTCACACACTACAGTATACACCTGTCAATCAAACACAACGTCACACACACTACAGTATACACCTGTCAATCAAACACAACGTCACACACTACAGTATACACCTGTCAATCAAACACAACGTCACACACTACAGTATACACCTGTCAATCAAACACAACGTCACACACACTACAGTATACACCTGTCAATCAAACACAACGTCACACACTACAGTATACACCTTTCAATCAAACACAAACGTCACACCACTACAGTATACACCTGTCAATCAAACACAACGTCACACACTAAGTATACACTGTCAATCAAACACAACGTCACACACACGACCAGTATACACCTGTCAATCAACACAACGTCACACACTACAGTATACACCTGTCAATCAAAACACAAGTCACACACTACAGTATACAACTGTCAATCAAACACAACGTCACACACCCTACAGTATACACCTGTCAATCAAACACAACGTCACACCACACTACAGTATACACCTGTCAATCAAACACAACGTCACACCACTACAGTATACACCTGTCAATCAACACACAACGTCACACCCACACTACCGTATTACACCTGTTCAATCACACACAACGTCCCACACGAACTACAGTATTACACCTGTCAATCCCCCCAAACACAACGTCACACACACTTTTTTTAAAAACCCCCCCCCCCCCAAGTATTACAACCTGTCCATCAAACACAAACGCTAACACACACTACCGTATACACCTGTCAATCAAACACAACGTCACACACACTTACGTTAACACTGTCACTCAAACACAAACGTCACCACACTACAGTATACACCTGTCAATCAAACACAACGTCACACACTACAGTATACACCTGTCAATCAAACACAACGTCACACACTACAGTATACACCTGTCAATCAAACACAACGTCACACACTACAGTATACACCTGTCAATCAAACACAACGTCACACACTACAGTATACACCTGTCAATAGTCACACACACACTACAGATCCTACACCTGTCAATCAAACACAAACGTCACATCACACTACAGTATACACCTGTCAATCAAACACAACGTCACACACTACAGTATACACCTGTCAACATCAAACACAACGTCACACCACTACAGTATACACCTGCCTCAATCAAAACACAACGTCACACACTACAAGTATATACACCTGTCAATCAAACACACACGTCACACACTACAGTATACACCTGTCAATCCAAACACAACGTCACACACACCACGGACATATACACCTGTCAAATCAAACACAAACGTCACACACTACAGTATACACCCTGTCAATCAAACAACAAACGTCACACACTACATATACAACCTGTCAATCAAACACAACGTCCACACACTACAGTAATACACCTGTTCAATCAAACCACTAACGTCACACACTACAGTATACCCCTGTCAATCAAACACAACGTCACCACATACAGTATACACCCTGTCAATCAAACATTATATAACATTGCCATTTTAGGCTGACCGCTTTTATCCAAAGCGACTCTAAAGACAATAAGTGCGTTCGACCAACAAAATACAACTTGAAGAAAACAGAATCATAAAGTACATCAGGTTTCATAGAGCCAAACATTTCAAGTGCTACTCAACTGGCTTTAGGTAAGCCAGTCCTTTATTAGTATAAAAGTGCTTCGTTAGTAGTTCTATCGCTGGAAGTGGAGTCGAAAGAGATGAGTTTTCAGTCTGGAAGGTGTGTAAGCTATCTGCCGTCCTGATGTCAATGGGGAGCTCATTCCACCATCTTGGAGCCAGGACAGCAAACCCACGTGTTTCTGCTGATGGGAACTTGGGTCCCCCCTCGCAGCGAGCTGTTTGGCTGATGCAGAGCGTAGTGCACGCGCTGGGGTGTACGGTTTAACCATGTCCTGGATGTAGGAAGGGCCAGATCCATTTCGCAGCATGGTAAGCAAGTACCAGTGTCTTGAAGTGGATTCTAGCAGTTACCGGAAGCCAGTGAAGGGAGCGGAGGAGCGGAGTGGTGTGTGGGAACATTTAGGAAGGTTGAAGACCAGACGAGCCGCCTGCATTCTGGATGAGCTGCAGAGGTCGGATGGCACATGCAGGTAGACCAGCCAGGAGGGAGTTGCAGTAGTCTAGGCGTGAGATGACGAGAGCCTGGACCAGAACCTGTGTGGCTTTCTGGTAGGGATCGACCGATATGGCTTTTTCAAGGCCGGATACCGATAATTAGTAATCAAGGAGACCAATAACCGATATTTGGAACCGATATACATTTGCAGTAAAATCAGAAAATCTTGGTGTCAAAATGTAGAATAACACAAACTCCAACACAACTTCTTTGAAATGCATTTAAGCATATATTACATTTAATTAACTTTTAAACATCTTACAACTGGTTTCCTCTCTGTGCCCTTTTCTTTAGTGCAGCCGTCTGCTATGAGTTAGAGAGAGAGACAGGAAGTGGGGCTGCAGGCTGACACGCTTAACTAACAATAATGCTTAATTTATTATATCTGTCTATCTAGCATGACATCCCAATAAGCTGCTAGCAACTGCAAAACACTAGTGCTAGCTAATGTTTTGCAAACTATTAAAAGTGAGGCTATCACAGTAGACCTAACGTTAGTCTAGGAGCCTCACTTCTAATATTTTGCTAAACATTTGCTCGATACATGTTGGCTAGCTAATGAGCTTCACATATCAACCTGAAAAACTGGTCGACCCCTACTTTCTGTGTCAGCTGGGGACGTATCCTCCTGATGTTGTAAAGCGTGTATCTGCAGCAGCGGGTTGTAGCAGCGATGTTTGCAGTGAAAGACAGGTTGTTATCTAGGGTCACACCCAGATTCCTTGCAGTCTGAGTCGGGGAAACAACTGAGGTGCCGATGTTTTTTTAATTTTTTTTTTAGTCAGTTTATTGAACATGTCAGAAACAAAAACATACAACAATAATATATATATATTCTCTTTTTTCCTTTTTTTTTTCTCACTCAAATTAATAATTATAACAAAGTACAAAAAAACAAATAATAACAACAAAAAAATAATAATAATTCTTAGATAGTCTCTGTCATGTTCAACAGGGGTAAGAAGAAGCTTAACAACACTTTTCTGGTCCTCCCCCCTCTAACATATATTTTATTATAAATAAAACATTAGGTCATCGTCATCAGCGACATGTTTGTCATGTTAATTTGTTTTTTTACAAAACAATCAGAAAAAATTACTTTTACAATTACAAGAAATAACAACAAATGGGATTTTACAGGTCTGTTCATAACCATTACTGATTTGACTCCTAAATAATACTTTCAGTTTAAATAGACTTGTACAATATTTCAGTGCATCGTTACAGTTATTCCACAGACTAACACCTTTGGATGAGATGAAGTTTGGCATTTGTTCGTACGGGTGGTTTTTTGAAAATGCAGTTTCCTCTCAACATGTGCACGCTTTCTCTCTGTGCGAAAAGTCCCTGGATATTATGAGGTAATTGTTGATTTGCGGCTTTTGAACATAATTTGAATAGTTTTATCAACCAGGTCTTGCAGTTTTGGTGTTTTTAGTTTGATGAACAATTTATTTGTTGGTTCTCTGTAGGTAGTTTTATGTATAACTCGTATGGCTCTTTTTTGCAGGATGAAGATAGGATGTGTATTTGTTTTATATGTGTTCCCCCCAAACCTCCACACAATACATCATGTATGGAAGTATGAAGGAGCAGTACAGCATAAACAAAGAAGCTTGATTAATTAGGTATTTGGCTTTATTCAGAATTGCTATTGATTTGGACATGTTGGCTTTGATATAGCTTATATGTGGTTTCCAACTTCATTTATTGTCTATGATTACTCCAAGGAGTTTTATTTCCAATACTCTTTCTAATTGGACGCCATTTATAGTGAGTTTCTTCTCTGTATTGGTCGATCGATTCCCAAATATTATGAGTTTGGTTTTGCTTGCGTTTAATGTTAATTTATTTTGGTCAAACCAGATCTTCATCCTGCTCAGTTCCTTCTCCATTGTGACCCATAGCTGTTCTAAATCGTCCCCACAGCAGAGGAGACTGTGTCGTCTGCAAAAAGAATGGTTTTAATAGTTTTTGATACTTCACATATATTGTTAATATACAGAATAAATAGTAATGGCCCCAAGACAGAGCCCTGAGGCACCCCATATGTAACCTGCAGTAGTTGTGATTTATGGCTTTGTAGTTCAACGTACTGTTCCCTGTTATGTAGGTAGCTGGATAGCCATGATAGTGCAACACCTCTAATGCCATATCTCTGTAGTTTTTTTAATTCATGGTCAACCGTGTCAAATGTTTTTTTAAGGTCCAGAAATATCCCTATTGCATATTCTTTATTTTCTATCGCCTTAGTAATGTGTCCCATACATTCTATAACTGCAAATGATGTGATTCTGTTTGCCTCTGAAACCATATTGTTGTTCATAGAGTATGTTATCTTTGGTGATGAAGTCATTTAGTCTTGTATAGTAGATTTTTTCCAGTATTTTAGAAACTGTGAGAGCAATGAAATTGGTCTATAGTTTGACAGTACATGTTTATCTCCAGGTGTATGTATGTGTATGACTTTAGCAGTTTTCATTTGATTTGGAAATACACCGGTTTGTATTGACTGATTACAGATGTGAGTTAGTGGTTTACATTCAATAATGTTTTTAACTGTATACATGTCAATATCATGACAGTCTGTAGACCTTTTACTCTTACGTGTTTTAACTATGTCAATAATTTCACTTTCATCAGTCCCTCTTAAGAATATAGTTTCCTTCACATATATATATATATATATATATATATATATATATATATATATATATAAAGTACTTAATGAAATCTTTAGCAACTGAGGTCATGTCATAAATTACTGTATCGTTTTTTGACAGAAAACTGTTTGGGTATTGTGCTTTTCCATTTCCTTTTTTAATAATGGTATTTAATACATTCCATGTGTTTTTAATGTTATTTTTGTTATCCTCCAATAATTTGTTGTAATGATCCATTTTGCTACATCGTATTATCTTTGTTTGTTTTTGTATGTCTTGTATTTTTTGTTCAGCCTCTACTGATCCATTCTTTAAGAAGTCTTTATATAATTCATTTTTCGTTTTACATGCATTTAATATTCCCTTAGTGATCCATGGTTTTTTCAGCATATTTTTGTTTCACTATGTTCTTTACACGAGGACCATGTTTTTTCATACAGCCCTGATAGAATATGTAGAAATGATCCATAGGCTTCATTTGCATCTGGTACATACACCTTGTTCCAGTCTTGTTTAGATCATTCTTCTTTAAAAGAATGAACAGACTCTGGTGTTTTGTAATTGTGACTTTTCTGGTGTCTTTTTTGATCCTAGTACAGTTCTGTATTGTTGCAAAGACTGGCAGGTGATCACTTGTGTCATTGATTAATATTCCACTTATTCCTTTCCTATTCATAACATTTGTGAATATGTTGTCAATGAGTGTAGCACTGTGTGATGTTATTCTGGTTGGTCGTGTGATCGTAGGATATAAACTGTTGCTATACATATAATTAATACATTCTGTAGTTGCATTGTGTTCTTGTGGGTTCAGCAAATCAATGTTAAAATCTCCACATACAAAGAGCATTTTCTTGCTGCTTGTGTAGTTTATAAAGTTCAGCTAGCTTTTTCTCAAATGTGTCAATACATGATCCTGGTTTTCTATACACGCAGCTTATCAGAAGGTTTTAGATGTTTTCATTTCAATTTCTACTGTTATGCATTCCATAATGTTGTCTACAGCGAAAGACATATTACTGACGGATCTACTTTTGTAACTTTTGTTAATATAAAGTGCAGTCCCCCCACCTTTAGAATGTGTCCTGTTAGTAAAAAACATGTTGTATCCCTCGATTTCAACCATGTCAGCTTGCTCCTCACTAAGCCAGGTCTCTGATGTTGCTAGGGCTGTAACTTGTTTCTCCAGTTGCCTTAAACAGTGTTTGATCTTTGATACATTTGAAATGAGGCTTCTGCTATTAAAATGTAATATTGATATTGATCCATCCATCATTCCATTTCTTTTGTGTTGATCTTCTGTGTAGTATTCACATTGGTTATGGATGTTATTGTAGAAATTATTTTCAGGGTCAATATCCTTTCAATGTCTTGTGATCTATGTTCCGTGTATTTGAAACATTTCAAGTCCAGTTTTTCATATTCAGCAGGTGAGTGATTTTTGTCCAAGCTTATCATGGGTGTTCTTAGTGTGTTAATTTCAGTGTGTAGCTATTCAGTTACCTTATGTTGATTTTGATGATTCATTCCTCAAACTGATCCAGCTCGGTGATGTCCCGGATAATGTTGCACTTTCGCCATCTCTGCTGTTGATCCATTTAGTTTGATAACATTTTTACAATTTGTCGACCATGTTGCTTGAATCTTGTTTTGTTTCCTTAGTATACGTGCCTCTCCTTGCGATGTCCGCGTTCTTCTTCGTTGTTGATTGTTAGGTCAAGAGTGGGACAATCTTTTCCCGGAAGGAAAAGCAGTTCAGTCTTGTCAAGGTTTGAGCTTGAGGTGATGAGCAGACATCCACTGAGAGATGTCAGCTAGACAAGCAGAGATGCGTGCAACGACCTGGGTCTCTGAGCGGGGAAAGGACAGAATTAATTGGGTATCGTCAGCGTAGCAGTGGTAAGAAAAACCATGCGGGCTAATGACTGATCCGAGCGAGTTTGTGTACAGGGAGAAGAGAGGAGGGGACCAAGAACAGAGCCCTGAGGGACAATGGGTGTTTCTCAATGTAGAGTACGCTTGCTTGGTAGCACATGTCCTTCCGAGCGTCTTGCTTCAGAAGCGAGGCAAGAATCCTTCCTGGTATTTCGGAAAACGAAAAGTGGAACAGGCGAGCAAGTGTGCGTCATATGAGAGGCCCCGCCTTACATTTTCCGCCACAGATTTGGGGAAAATGGTCCGTGCGCCAAAGCATTGTGGGGGATTTTAAAACCGCAGAGGTCTACACATGTGCAGCCTCGAAATTTCTCCAAACGAAGTACGCCGGGCTCGTAGAATTCCAAGTATGCTGGACATTAGAACAGTCCTTCGGCAGCACTCGATGACGTAGCATGCTTGAAATAGTGGCTCTGGAGCAGCTTTACTCGACAGTGAGAAACACAGAATATCACACACTACAGTGTGTGTATTAGTACCTTCTTGTACTTGTATATCTGGTGTGTATTAGTATGTGTGTATTAGTACCTTCCTGGTACTTGTATATATGTGTGTATTAGTATGTGTGTGTATTAGTATGTGTGTATTAGTACCTTCTTGTACTTGTATATATGGTGTGTATTAGTATGTGTGTATTAGTACCTTCTTGTACTTGTATATATGGGTGTGTATTAGTATGTGTGTATTAGTACCTTCTTGTACTTGTATATCTGGTGTGTATTAGTATGTGTGTATTAGTACCGTCCTCGTACTCTGGACCCTGTCCCCTCAAACCTCCTTCAGACTATCCGCTCCTGATATTCTACCGTTTCTCACCCATTTCATCAACACTTCTCTAACTTCTGGTCACTTTCCAAACAGTCTCAAGGAGGCAAGAGTAAACCCTCTCCTAAAGAAACCCACTCTCAACCCGTTCAGATGTTATTAAACTACAGGCCTGTCTCTCTCCTCCCGTTCCTGTCTAAAACACTTGAACGCGCTGTCTTTAAACAACTCTCCTGTTATCTCCATCAGAACAACCTTCTGGATCCGCACCAGTCTGGTTTCAAGGCAGGTCACTCCACAGAAACTGCTCTCATTGCTGTCACGGAGGAACTGCACACCTGCCAAAACTGCATCCCTCTCCTCTGTCATCATCCTGTTGGACCTGTCTGCTGCATTCGACACGGTGAATCATCAGATCCTCCTTCGCACTCTCCAAGAACTTGAAGTTTCAGGCTCTGCACTTTCCCTCATCACCTCATACCTGAAAGACCGTACCTACAGGGTGACTTGGAGAGGGTCCGAGTCCGACCCTTGTCAATTAACTACAGGGGTCCCTCAGGGCTCTGTTCTTGGTCCCCCTCCTCTTCTCCTTGTACACAAACTCGCTCGGATCAGTCATTAGCCCGCATGGTTTTTCATACCACTGCTACGCTGACGACACCCCAATTAATTCTGTCCTTTCCCCGCTCAGAGACCCAGGTCGTCGCACGCATCTCTGCTTGTCTAGCGGACATCTCTCAGTGGATGTCTGCTCATCACCTCAAGCTCAACCTTGACAAGACTGAACTGCTTTTCCTTCCGGGAAAAAGATTGTCCCACCTCTTGACCTAACAATCAACATCGGCACCTCTGTTGTTCTTCCCCGACTCAGACTGCAAGGAATCTGGGTGTGACCATAGACTGTATATATAAATGGACATAGGGTCCGTGACATCACCCATAGGATTCTGCAGAGTTGCAGAGAAGCCCTTAGTAGGCGGAGTCGGCCACTAACGGCTCGACAGTTGACGTGAAATTCCAGACCTAGCTCAGGCTAAGAAGCTAAGCTAATATGCTCCCAGTATTAAGCTAACAACCCAGCTTGCGGTCACTGCTACTCATTCCAGGCATATTCTGAAGCCCAGCGTCGGGCTTTCTTCAATAATGACTTGCTGTACACCATGGGTCGGCAACAGGCGGCCCCGCGGGCCATTGTTGGCCCGCCAGCAATAATATTTGGCCCGTAATTTTGAGAATCAAATATAAAATATTATTTTGGGATTTTTTTTTTTTTTTTTTTTACAACATAGGACCGACAGTCGCACATCAGGGTTTCCGTTAGCGGCCGATCGATCGGCCGCCGGTCATTATCGGCCGATATTCACTCTTAATAGTTTGATCAGTGCTCTCTAAAAAGGCCGATCAGGAGAGCTGGATCTGATCGATATGGACATAAACGCGAGTGAAGTATAACCGGACGCGAGAGAGAGATCAGATCAGCTGCTGAGTCTGACGGAGACACGCAGCTCTGTATAATCACCTGAAGCCCCGCCCACTGTTTAGCGAGCTGCATGAGAAACTAACGTGCTGTCAGGAGAGAGAGGGAGGGAGAGAGGATCCGTTTCTCCCGTGTTATTATTCAAAGTTAATGTAAACTTTTGAATAATATACTTCATCTACTACAAGTAGTTTGTTTGAATGTAATAATTATGTTGTTTGTTGTTTGTGGAATCATTTATTGAGAAATGAATCTGAATTTTTTTATCTGTAACGATTATAAACTGAAGCAATATAAAAATGACTCCCATTAACTGAGTTTTAAACATCAGCATATCCGGTCCTAGTCCGGTGATTACCTGCTAACGGAAACTCTGCTACACAACACAACTCTTATTATTATTGAAACATGACCGGTAAGTTTCAAATTTGTCCGGTAAAATAAATTCTGTCCCGAAATATCAGCTTACATTCATAATGTCAGCGGAGGGAGGGGAAGCGGCGCTGTGGAAGAGCAGAGTGGCGAGGGAGAGCTGTCATCTTCCCTTTACAAGCTTCAAACATGTATTTATCGTGTGATTTTGGAAATAAAAGTTCCATATTCTGAAAGCCAAGACTTTGTTTATTTAAAATCAAACAAAACACCCGATCCCCGAAAAACTATTTTTTTACGCAAATCCACGTTTATTTTGAAATGAGCCGTTGCGACTTCCGACTGATTTCGATGGAGCGGGTCACATATGGCAAACGTGTGGTTGGGGGGAACCAGGTCAATTAAAGTACTTATTTAACTATGAAATACATTGAGTTTGAGTAAAATACTTGGTTACTGATTAATTTAGGTTATAATATATTAAATTGCAAAGCAAAACTGCTGTAATTGATCTATTTTGTCCTTTGATATTTTTTAAAGGTTTTCAACCTGAAAGAATCCTAATGTGTCCTTGAAAAGTTGAAATAAAGAAAAGGAAAAAGGATTCCAGTTGTCCATAGCGTCTTCCCCTTTGCCCCTCAAGCCTCTCAAATGGGCAAACACTCAAATAAATGCCAAAAACCCAGAGAACTTGACAATACTTATCAGAATAAAAGTATGTTAAATAACACTGCTACCTAGTTAATAACTCTACTCAGTGGAGGCTCATCCATTGAGGAAAGGGAGGACCATCCTCCCTACAATTTCAGAGAAAAATAAACTTTGAAGAGAACAATAAATACATCTCAATTTAAAAGATAAGTCTGTTAAAATACAGATAATAGCCCTGGCTTTGGGACTGAAATGGGGCTAGAGAGGACGAGCCTCCCTTTGGGCGGGTCTAGCCAAAGGCTCTGGATTGGGCGCCCTCTTACCAAATCAATTTCTTGAATTAGGCTTTGATTATGTTCTGGCCCGCCATCTTGCGGCTCAGCAAAAAATTGGCCCACGGCCAAACTTACTTGCCTACCCCTGCTGTACACTATCCCCTACTTAACATATGAACAGGTTATACAGTCTATGGTTTGCACCTGTAAATAATATCTAATTAGTACACAAACATATAAGAACAATTGTGGCGTACATAATTCCTTTGGCTGCCACTACCACGTTACCTCCCTGCGAACAGCCCACCGCAGTTATAGCTCCGAAGACCTATAGCTCTCCCGGCCGGAGCTCTGTCCAACCAGTTAGCATGATTAGCAGGTGCATGTTTTAGCTTAGCTCGTTAAACAGCGAATTAGCCGCGGTTGGTAGAGCTATGGCTCCGGCAGTCGGTAGACCGACCGACCAGAGCTATAACGGCCGCCGAAGCCATAGCTCTACCAACCGCGGCTAATTCGCTGTTTAACGAGCTAAGCTAAAACATGCACCTGCTAATCATGTTAACGGGTTGGACATATATAAATATATATAAAATATTACAATTATACTCACCGAAAAAAGTGCAAAAGAGACTTCTTGGAATGTCGGTTAGTACAATCAACTGCACAACAAGACATTTTAATTGTCTTATACTTAACAAAAGACACGAAATCCACGGACACGTCCGTTGGGTCAAGTTCGGTAAATACAACTAGCAAAGCCTATGAGCCTACAGAGCTGACAAATTGCTGTTAGCCGACAGTGAGGCTCGTACCTGTCACTCAAAGTGACCACGACCTAATTTATGCATAACTTTAAGACTGAATATTAATTAAACAGATGAGTTGAGAAAATATTCACTCCAGGATCCATAGACAGGAAGGTGGAATCTAACTATACTGAGAATAAAATGTTTTGAAACCACGATGTAAACATGTTTATTTCTGCTGTAAATTTGGGCATTTTAACATTGGGGTCCATGGAAATGGCTCCCTTCTGCAGACTGCTCCTACTACTACTAGATGAACTG